TCTTCATAAAGTGGTTGTATCTTACTTAACTGAAAGATTTCTTCTGATTGTACCTCTTCGTCATTACTCTCTTTTTCTTTTGCGTTCCTTAGTTTTTTTTCTTTTTTTCTTTCTACTTCTCTTCGAATTCCCATTGTTTTGTGTGGCGCATATATATTGGCGCTCTCTTGTACCAATATTTATGTGTTCAAATAAATAAATAAATAAAATGATATCATTAAACGTGCGATCACATGGGTTCTGAGTTAAGATTAGTTTACAGTATTTATCTTATTCAGTCGGGTCCAGTTTTCAAAACAGCAGTTGAGTCCTCCGTGCATCATCCTTGTCCACCAAGTCAAATTTTAAAAATCTTCCTATCGTCCAAACTATGTATTAGATGTATCATTAGAGTCTAGTTGGTAGTCGAGCTTTGCAATGCTGCTTGCAATACTATCGATAGGTGTAGGTATAATAAATGATGATGAATGTATAATAAATTATGCTTGTCAATTTAAGCTGCTGCCCCAGCAGAAAGTCTTCTTTGACATAATCTGTATTTCAAACCCATGAAAATCACCACGAACCAACATGTGATGTCTAAAATTGATTTCTTCCTAATATATTATGTTTGAGGATTTAACTCACCCAATAAATCTACACATATTATTCACATGTTTTTTTTATAATATTTTATCTAATTATTGTTGCTTTATTTCCAAAAAATTATTATTCAGGTTGAAGTACCATGTATGCCTAATCCATTGCTTAATTTCGATTTAATAATTAATCCAAATCAAACTTTGCCTACAGTATGCTTAGGTGTATCATCTACCCCAGATCCACTTGTCTATAAATTGCATCTTGTAAATTTAAATGAAAATTCAAATTCATCATGGTATACAAATCCTTGCCGATGTAAGTTTTATATTATAAATATGAGAAAGATTTACTTAATTGAAATCATGTATATCATTCACATCATACAACTACATTTAACTAATACCTTTATACCTGGCATAGTAGAGAAATATGAGTTCTTACGGCTTTTTATGAATTTTTAAACATATACTGTTTCACCAAGTTTAGATATATGCTACACATTACCCGTATATTACAGTATGGAATAGTTAAGAAATCAGTGACAATTAAATGGTTTGGAGTGGAAGCTGTGTTGTTTTTATATTTTTCTGTGGATATATATATATTGTGAACAAGCTATCATTTCCACCATCTCCCCTCGCTTTTTTCATGTACATCTCTGTTTTTTCTCTTGAGGGAAATCTTAATCGATTCATAAGTCGGTTAAATTATAGTTCAGGGACGAGTTAATCAGAACCGAGTAGACTGTTTTCTATTTTTTTCACGAAATTCAAAAATGAATGACATTTATCTCATATCATGTCAAATTCCCTATAGAAGTGTATTTGTTTATGGCTCAAAATTCTTAAAATTATTTGGAGAAATTCTTTTTAGTTATCCCACAATGAAAAGGATGATGTTGAAAGTATCAAATGCTTAATTCTTTTATTTAAATTATATATAACACGTGAACCAAGGAGTTTCTGTTTCAATTTACTTTCTTTACTGCAAACTCCGATCAGTCACTTTATTATTGGTTTACTGAATAGTTAACAGGCTATTGAAGTAGGAATGCTAAAATAAATAACGTTTATCACACACGGTTTCTCCATATTGTTGTCTTATAACTTCATCTCGCTAAATTTTAGAGCATTCCTTAGCAAAGATCTGGTCAGTCAGTCAGTTACAACGTAGGACCAGGTATATACATGCACACTTCATTAACACAGCAAGATGAACACCAGATTCATAGAAGCAGTTAACTCAATAATGTAATATATAAAAGAAAGATTGCATATAAGGATATAATACAGGGAGAAAGAATTAGTTCGTAGAAAGAAAGATATGAAGTGATTTAAAATTCATAGTTTAAAGGGAGACAAAGAGCGTATACACCGACGCTATTGTGATCGATTCTCATCCATGTCATCAAGAGTCTGCAACCATTGGTTACGATAGTCACGCAGACCCCAACCAAGTAGTCTGCATCTACCAACATGACTCACACCAAAAGATAGTGACCTCAAGCACTGATGCCACATTTTAGTTTGGCCGCCCCTAACCTTCTTCCAACCATTCCCAACACTAGTCAGCATTGTGCGTCGTGGTAATCAATGCTCAGGTATTCGTAACACGTGACCTAACCATCTCAGTCGATGAAGATTCACAACCTCATCAACTGGTTTACCATCATTCTCTAATACCTTGCGTCGAACCTCACTATCACTTACCCAGTGATCTCAGTAGATGCGAGCAATATTTCTGAGGCATCTGTGGTCAAATACTAGTAGCTTACGAGTGTCTTCTACTCTTAATGACCACGTTTCGCAGCCGTAAAGTAGAACAGAACGAACTGCCGCGCAGTATACTCGTCCCTTCATTGATAGACGGATCTGGTACGAGACGGTATTTTTTCTACTAGATAATCTATAGTTATAAAAATGATTCAGAAAACAACCTTTGGCTTGAATAGATGAGGTCATATACTTCCACATGGTTGGAAAACTAATAATAATCCTTTAAGAAACCCAATAAACTCGAGACCACTATACCGTCACAGATTTCAGTACTTTTATTACAAAATATTTTTAATTTATACAGATTTTCGACTCGTTCGCTAAAGCATGACTTCAAGATCAACTGGTAATCTTAGGAATTGCTCAACATCGTCCTCATATATTATTGTTACTTTCGTTAATATATCTACTTTATGAATATATCAATTTGTAATTTTTCTGTTCTTATATATGACAATTGATAATTTTAGTTACTCTTAATGGTTGAGCAGTTAATTAAACAAGGTACATATATAGTCGTTTATTTATTAATTTAATTACTGCTTTACAACTAAAGTAGTGATTTTGTCTCGCGTTGTATATATATATATGAACTGGAATTTAGATAAATTCACCTTAACTTTCATTCGAACCGACATGTGTGTGAACACACCGAGAGAAGTACACAAAGTATGCAAATTATATTGCGATATTTCTTCTCTTTCTTTCTCCTTCATCATACTCATTCAGTAATTCATAAATGACATTGATTTTCTATTTTATTTTGAGGACAATTTGAAAAAGCAACACTTAACATGATAAAAGTATGTTTGAAAAAGTTGATTTGCACTGAATATGAACAATGCTTTCATGTTCGTGAGAGATGACGATCCCAGTGTATAAATTTAGCGTACTATTCAATTTTTGCTATTGATAGTTGTCTTTTTTTATTAGTACACACAACACAGAGAATTTTACATTAAACCTAAGACCGTTTTTAGAAAGATCATATGTAATTGAATAAAAATCAATCAGTTAAGTTTTGTTTTATTGATCTGAAATGATATTGTCTATTAGGTTATGCGGTAATATGAACAAAATAATAAATACTGATCGTTTATAATAAAAATATTTACAAACTTTAAATTTGACATTCAGTCAACAATTTGAATGAACATATTGGTTTTTTTCATTATTTAAACAAAGGATATGATTGGTAAACTAAGAAAACTTTTTATTAATGACACATGAATAACAATTATTTGTGTAGTCCTTTGCACATTCTATTGACGTACAACTGTAGTGTATATCGAACTCATAGACTGGTGAAAAAGTCGAATGTATTCGGCCCTTTGTGTCTTCCGAATCCTTATACACTGTCTGGATAATTGCTTACATTCAGAATCTGAAAATAACTTATGTCCTCACAAGTCTAGCAACACATGAAACAACAAATTATTTGGAAAGCTGAACCTTTGACATTTTGAACAATGGGACGAATATACAACCGCAAATGTAGAGAAGTATTTTGAAAGACATTAAACTTATACATTCTAAATTTCATAAAATAGAACTTTTATAACTTATATTCATGTATTTATTGGGTAGGGTTATAATAATAGTTAATAGTGTTTAAAGGTAAATCAAGATTTTGAATTAATTCCTGTCACACAAATTGACTTGACTAATAGAATTATTAGAAAGTATAGATCATTGGATATGTATTCCATTCGATGTTGAAATTCTGTAACAGTGCACAGACGCCAGATCTAAACTATCGCTCCAAATTATTTCAATGATCATCATATCTTTAGACTATGGGGTAAAAATTCAGTAATAGGAATCTATGACTTTTGAATTCTCAGCACGTCAGGTATTTGAGGGGGGTGAGTAGTTTTTCAAAATTGCATAATATTGAGAACTATTTTTATTGACTTTCGACTCATTTGGTTGTTGGTATCGTGCTCACATTTAATACCTGAATATACTTTGTTTGATAATAATTCTTATGCCATTAGTTATAATTAGTGATTATCAGCCTTCAACTGAATATTTTTTGAAAGAAATTACCACTCACCAATTGATTGATTTTTTTATGAAGGAAATCGAAACCGTTAATTATATGCAAAATATTCAGACAGAAAAGTTGGTCAATCGTTTTAACAATACAAGCTACTTAAATGTTTCATAAGTAGCATACTTCATTGAACGATCATTACTCCAAATGGTAATCATCGACATAACGGTTGAATCATTATTTGTATAACTGTTACCTCTGTGTACATCGTTTCTTAGAAACAATTTAGCGAACACAAAAGAATTTCATTTTCAGTCAATATATATATATATATATATATATATAAGTAGTATTTCATGTAACGGAATGTGTGTATTGCAACGTTTTTTTCAGCGAAATTCTTCATTGTTTCATTAAACTAGAAATCCGATAAGTTCTCCTAGCTACCTTTAAGTCTTATTCTTGGCTAGACGCCGTTTACTGTAAAATATAAACCTACTTTTCGTGTGCTAGTTTTTTTGTGAAAAATGTTTTATGTAACACCACATGTATACGTTACTACTGTCTGTTGTTAAAGTCTATCGCTATGACCACACAAATGATCACCTAGTGTGTATCGATTAGTTTTTCATTCTCTGTGTACCTATCTATTTATTTTCATATTGCACATGCTCATGTATGTGTTTACATATCCCATGTATAAATGTATACACATAACTGGTTGAATATTGCAGTTTGGATTCAGTCAATCTCTTACACTCAGTAGTTTTCGACAACTTCATTTTCAGCGCTAATAATAGTAGTAGTGACAATCCATTTGTTATTTTTATTATTTCTAGTTATAATAATTTATTAGTTATGATGATTAATTTGATTATAACACGGTTTAAATACAGTTCCACCTAGTTTTAAAGTATTGATCATAACTGGTGAAATTGAACACGGGTTAACAGAGGGTTTATGGGTGGGTTAACGTATTACATAAAAATACAAAATCATAATATCAACGTGCATGTGATGCTTAACATTTTGTAATAAATGGCATTATAGTTCTATGGTATTTGTGCTAAAAGAATCATATGATTTCGTTATCTAGTTTGTCTGCATATGTGGACAAGTATGTAGTCTTCAATGATTTCATCATTTTCTGTCTGAGTTAAACAAATCAACTTTGGGAGTTTTCATGATTGGTACTGTATGGTTAATTTTAATTTAATCACTAATCCATCGTCACAAGAATTCTAATGTAATTTAAACCATCCCTAACTTGTTGTCTCTGTGAGCATTTAGAACTGACCATTTTTCTATGTTTAATAATTGTTTACATGGTTTAACTATATTTAAATCTGTTTGTTGAATATCAGTCTGATTATCCCGACAACTAAAAAGAACCACATATTACGAACTATTAGTCTTCCTAACCATAATACAGTAATCGACTATAGTCGAACTTATTACTGGTTTGCCTAAATAAATTGAACGCATCAAACTGAATCGCTTAGATGGCATACGTTGTTCTTTTACGACATTTGTTTCAATAATAAACTCTAGTTACCTCGACTAAGTGATTGAAGGAAGTTATTTAAATTTTGTAAATGCTAAAATGAAATGTGAAATTCGTAGTAACCAATTTGTTTTGCTATTACGTTGTTTGTAATTTTACATTTACTCTGATGTTAGCTATCTTGTAATAAGTCAAAACTATTCTTACTTCACTTAGATACAAATATTCCAACTTCTATTTTGTTTGTCAAGCTTGTATTATATGAGAAAAATGGTCATCAATGAAGTGTTTTTGTCAACCACTCGTATTGATGGAAAATATTACTGTTGGCTTGTAATCTATTATAACTTTGGGTCATTAATATGAGTTCTAAACTTGGCATATTAGTAATTAGTTAGGATTTCGTAACTTGATTATTACCCTAAAGAAGTCCAGACAAGTTAGCTGAACGAAACGTTGAAATTATTTGAATTTCTATCGCTGAGATTATTTCAAATATAATTTCCAAGTACATGCTATAGTATTTCTGTTGTATTTTCAGAGGGAGTTTTGTATGCATCAGGATTTACAATAATTTATTTTCATATGATTATTGCTGCTGCAATGACCTCAAGTTATTTAGCTTGTGTTAATAGATGTTGATTTTTTCCTGTAACGCTAATAAAAGTTCATATTTCCCCAAAACGTTTGCTTTTTTAGACTGATTGTTACTTGACTAATTTCCCTGTGTTTTTAAATTCATGTTTTGCTGCTATATATACAGAGTTGTTCTACTTTAGTTCTATCTTCGCCAAATTTCAAGATTTTTCTGCACTTCTTTTTTGGATTCCGTCGTATGGGGATTATTGACGAAGTTTTGTGTGCCACTTGTTGTATTATCGAGTTTACATTAGTTTCCTTTCGTGTTAGAACAATTTCAATTGTTTGCAATAAGAAATAACCGTAGACCCAGTTGAACCAGTCATTTAACACAATATTTACATATACATTGTTTGTCTAATCGTTGATGATGGTTTTCGTAGTATTAAATCAAATGGGTTCAAATTGTTCATCAATATTGATCGATATCTTTTATTTTATGAAGTTGTCACTGATAATAAAGTAGATGATAACTGAGTTCTTTAATCCGACCAAATTAAATATACACACAAGAGGCTGCATGTAAACTCTAATAGTGAGCTTCACCAAATAACCAAAATAACATATATTATACCACTGTAAACTATCAATTCAGTCCTTATACATTTTTTTTCCAAGGAGACCTGCTCTACCACTCCATCTACTTTAATTTTGCTGGTGGCCAATTAGTATAATTAACTCATACGAGAACTACATCTCAAAGCTAATTATATATAACTATCTTTGATAAATGAACTTCATCTATTGATGTTTTTACATATTTATCGTATTGCTACATTCCATTGAAATAACTGTATGCATATTATTGATGATGTGCATTTGTCCACTTATCTTGTTTTTAGTCTCAAAATATATTCCCTGTATGTTTTGTTTTGATTTCAGTTGAAGATCAGTTGCAAGTGATTAAAGTTGTACAGCTTGATACACGTTCGTTGTTAATTTGTTTTCCCAGTAAGTCAACTAATTAACTACCATTATTATTTATTTGTATTGGTTGTTTGAATATTCCCGTTGAATATTAGGATGCGATAACGTTTGAAGCGAACGGTAATAGATCCGAGTCCCGGAGTGGACACGAACTCTGGTATGCAGGCAGATCCATCTGACAAGTCTCAAATAGGATGGAACGTGCATCCTGGATTTTACTGCTAGCCACCATCCACCTCTGCGTATAATATTATTTTATTCTACCTGAAATGAATATTAAAAGCTAAAATAGTTAATGTTGCTGTTTTTTTTTTAAATTTTAGATAATGTGTAAAGGTTGTTTTAATCATGTGTTTAATTGAGATCGACATACGAATAATTATAAAGTAGAAAGCACTGAATATATGTTTCACCGTAGTCATGAATTGGTTCGTAGGTGTACATGTCTATAGTTTCACATGAGTTCAAACCCAAGACTTATTTCATATGACTAGCAGTACTATATTTTTGTCAGACTATTAAGCTACAATATAAATAGTCCGTATTTTTCTAATATCACTTATTTCATGATATAGAATGGTTTTTGTCTGATGTTGTTTGCTGAATAAAACTGTATTTGAATTTTACCTTTTATTATTTCTTGGAACGGCTTTCATTTATCATTGGATTAAATTTTTTTTCAGTGATCATGTTATTCTTGTAGTATACTTTTCCGTTCAGTAATAAATTTTTTCTCTGTCTGTTGATGTTTCAATGTTTACCGTATTTTAATTTATTCTTGATTAGCACACGCCACAATGGTGAATATGAATGGACGTGTACTAGTTAGTAGAGATGGGCGAATAGCCAAATTCCCATTCGATACAACAGTTGACTCTATTGGTAAGCTTGAATATCATTGTTTTGTGTATTTAGTTTTTTTTTCGATTTCTTCATAACTGTAATTTTGTAAATGAAAACATATTTCTTTGAATGAATAATGTGACATTATTGGATCAAGCAAACTATCACTTTATTCCACCTTTTTAGAAGTTTTTATGGTCAATTTCTCTCGTCCTAAAGAACTGATCCGGGAAGTCTAAGTATTCATGCATGAAATAGATTAGTTGTTAAAGACTTCATGGATTTGTATCATGTCTTGATTTCGTCATCGACAGCAATTTTTCATAGTAAACTCACTTTAGCTAACATCATATTTTGGTTTACATAATGTGGCATTTGTACCACGTAACGTATCCACTCCCACCACTGTGGGTTCAGAAAATCTATTAAGTATGACAACACAGAATGGATCGTGCCGTTGTTTGAAAGATTGAAATAACCTGTCAGACAGTGAACTCATTAAGAGGTGAATCTTTTTGAAAACGCGTTATGAGTATGTTCTTATTTTCAGTTACATAACTGATTGAATTTTTTATATAAAGCTAATGTAGTCTCTATTTAAGATATTATTAAAACATACTTCCTAGAGCTCTTCTTATAGTTAATGTTTTGAATAACCTACAACTTTGTATTGATATAGTTCAACAAATGAATTATTTATTTAGCTCAAATCCGTCGACAAAAGTAGACAACTATCACTTTGAAGTGTACTTTCCACTTCAAATATATTCTATTATATTTAAAACCATATGTTTATGACATTACATAACAGAATATTGACAATCGGTACCTCAAAGCTTAACGGCGTTACAATTGATGAGCTCACAAACGTTTGCTGGTGCATCTTGTGCTCTAAGCGTAATCTGTTTTTATTTTATAATTTTGATGAGTTTGTACATTTTAGTGTCAAATCAAACACTCCAATCTATTACCATCCATAGTTAAGATATTTTGACTTATTATTTTGATTCGTATTTCCCTTTATTAAAAATTAATAATTAACATCATTTACAAATTATACTCAATGTTATTTTACGCTCTATTTATCTTGCTCTAGTTTGTTATAGACAACTGAACATTCTTGTTTCATTGTAATATTTAATTCTTGATTATGAACCGTTAAATATTCTGAAGGCACTTTTTCACTTAATCCATTGGTATATTTGAATTTATCATCATATCTTGTTTTGTAATGTGATCGTAACAGTTTACAAATTTGTTTATGATTTCACAGAATTATCCTCAATTAAGTTGGATGGGTTATTAAGAGACTAGTTCAAATCGAAGATAGTTTTTTATTTGTGTCATGAATTGATATTAACTGGAAAATGATTGTAATCAATTGTCCAGTGCCCTTAGTAGTATACAACATTTCACTTGATATCGGTTCGTGATGATAACTAAATTCAACTAAATAGATAATTATTAAAAACACTGAATTAATTCATAATTGCAGGCTTAGTTGTAATAGGCTTTCAAATGGATTTTTCTAAAGTTTAATTAAACGTCATAATTAACAGTAATTTTAAGAATGAGGCCTTAACTCATCAAGGACATCAGAAGAGTATTATGCTATGCTACAGATTGATTGAAGTTGTTAATACGAACTATTCAATTCCTAATTATTGATCTAGATGTATTGTGTACCCAACACTATCTGGAAATGCCCACTTATATCTTTCACGTCAGGTTCATAGTGTGCACTATTAATTAGCTCGTCCTAAATTAAAATGATACAGTTAGTTGACCAGCATTTCCTAGTAGCAGTAGATGATGCTCCATGTGATATTAATTATCTATCAAAATTACCCCATAAAATCCCAAAACCACTTCATAATTATTATGATAATGAATCCAGGTTTTCTGTTACTCTGTGTTTTTTTTATAGAATCTTGTAATGATGATTCGTAAACATATCATTTAATTCAACTGTATATACATTTAGATAGTAACATTTCTGTTTAGTATTTTTGTTGTTAATCGACGGAGTAATTCTTGTTCCATACATAAAATTTAGTCTTTTTATTCTTGAAAATATCTAGTCACTGTTTCACATTCAACAAAATTAGAGGTTTGAACAAAATGAAATTAGTATTTTCAACTTGAATTAGATGTTTACTAGATAGTTTTAGTTATTAAAAGAAAAGGGATATTTTAAAAGTATCCTAGTTCCTACTTTTGTTAAGAACTGATTTCCCTTTAAGAAAACAAATTATGTGTGAATAAAAGACTCATTTTATGTGATTCTCCAAGTTTTATTTCAAACGCATATTTATTTCATTTTGTTTAATAGTTCGATTGCACGACAGTGTACTCGCTTTTCATACACATGGTTTGAGGGGTATCGATTTCTTCGGTAGGGTAAGTATTTCTACTCTCTAGATCTAATAATAATTAATTTCCGCAAATTCTTAAGCAAAAATATTTTACTCATGATATGATAGTTTAAAGGTAGTCTCAGTGGCAGTAATTGGTTATAGATTATTATACGGAGATTGACTTAAATGTTTATGGGCGACCCAAGTATATTAAGAAATATAATGATAATATTGTTCCCTAAGTTTAATTTGTTTATTAGTCGTGATAGCCTTTTCATTTTGGGCACGAGATGTGATAATGCAACTCAACGGTCACTTACAAGCTCATGTACTAGATTTTCTCACATTTACCTACAGTGTGTGAGGGTGTATCGCTACTACTATCTGATTGGGTGCGAACTGTTGTATATCGTCTGTTTAATCTATTAGACCACAATACTTATTTATTCGATTAACTGCGGAGCTTGAACAAAACGACCTGGTTTAAATGAATGTCTAGCTAAAACCATTTTATAATTGAACTATAAACTGAACAGTCTCCATAAAACTATGAAGATCTGTTGCATTATGATTCTAGTGAACTTGTATTACATACATGCTCCAATAAATCCTGTTTAGGAACATCGTTAATATCACACACCCAATGCATGCAAAGAGCTTTCTTCTTAATAGAAACTGACGCATTCTTCTATCAAAAAAGTAAGGTACTACTTTAGTGATTAAAAATTGTCATTCATTTGTCTGTATTTCCATTATCCATAATATGTGCATCACCTCATCAGAAAGTACAAAATATTTCCCACAAAATTACCCATGTTTCTGTATATATTGAGCCCAATGCTACCCAAATTACTAGCAGTTATTCATAAATATCTGTATTTTATAATTAATTAAGCACATTGACACTTGATAACTGGTATGAAGAAAATACGTATGATAGTTCAGCTAGATGGTCTCAAAAGAAACTATTAGTCAGTAGCCTCAACCTCTTAAACACAATATCATCCTAAAAAGATCAGTAGTCTTAATTAATAACTGATATCTAATAAATTCTTTTATTTGACGTACAAAATATTGTAACCATCATGTTTTTAATGGATTTTTAGGTTACACAAGATATTGATGACGATAAACATGTATACCGACTATTAGGAAGTGACCGGTAAGCCATTCCTAATTTTTTGACATTGATAATATTACTATCCTAATATATAGAGAGAAATTCATTTACTGACATTTAGGAAGATTTCATGATAATAGGTAATCCAGAAACATTAGTTTTGATACTGTTTGGGAGAGTTTGAAAACAGTTGTGTAGATTTTCACCAGTTATTTCATTATTCATCTTCGCCTTTTTGGTAACTGAGCCAACCATATACGATACGTCTCCTATGAATCGAAGCCAGTAACCATCCCACTGTTTCATATTTTATTTATTATCACTTTTTTTCATATTGATTTTGTTTCTATCCGACTAGGAACATCGTTGTTGAGAGTAGGCCAAGTGATAACCCAATGTCTAATTCAAACCTCCTTATTTTGGTTGGACATGAAGACTCATCCTGATTCATAATTCTTAGTTTTATTATCATTTCGGGGCAAAATACGAATTGTTTGCATACCTGAAAACTGTTCAAATAACTCATTTATTCTATCCTCAATCGATCACAACAAAAGTATTGAATATATTATTTCATCGAGTTGGAAATTCCTATTCTATTCGTTTTTGTAATTGACGATTTATGATATTATCTTTGTTATGAATTCAGAAAACAATACATACTCTATTTCTGTATGTCTGAAGGATGGCAAAAGTGTTTTCTGTAACGAACTGTGAACATTGTTTACTACTTGGTTTTACCATCATATTTTTTTGTTGAAACCTAATTTATTTCTTTACCTTTTCATTTCTTTTTTTAATAGAAAATATTTCTCTTGTTACCTATTTCTCTGGTCAATCATTATTTTATGAAATTTGTACAGTCTTAGTTTTATTTGTTCATTTCTGGTCGACATTATGCTCGCCCATGATCGGATTTATCTAACTAATACGTATGTTTTCGGAAGCTAATAACGAACATTGTTTCTGCAACTAATTCTAACTTTCTTGTAATATCATTTTTGAACAGTTCTGTTGACAAGACTGCCACTGACTAATCCATTTATGGTTCAACTATTATGCCGTATCAAGTAACCTAGAATACTAATCGATACTTCTTCAGTCGCCTCTGATAACTACTTGAACGTGAAGCCTAAATAACTTGTGATATGTGCCTTTTTTCTTTTCTAGGCACTTGATTCTAAATCCGTGTGTTACATAGCCCCGAACATCGTTTTACACATCAAAGCATAATATCCACATGATATTAGCAACATTTATGTAATAGATTCATTTAACAGATTAGTATATGAACACTTATTTTCGTTACTCAGCTAAATGTTTACTCATCTTGACCTATATATAATACAAAGTGCTGTTGATAAGACTAGGTCTGGCCCTGTATTGCACGAGAATGGATATCATGTTTTTTGTAACTTCATTCTTCTAGTCGATTCCATAAGAGACTAGTTTTTAACTGCAACAATAAGGAAAACACACCCAGCCATCTAGTATCTAACACCTTGCTCCATGCTAGCGTGATGGTTCAAATCAATTAATCCACATTAATTTCTGTATTTACTTATCATGATGCTATTACGAAGTTGATCCTTTAAGAGATATCAGAAATACCATAGAGAGCACAAATTCTTTCTTCCTCGATTGGTGACACGCTTAAAAACTTAACCAATTTCGATTATTGGTGAGTCACTGTTAGAAACCGTGTTTTCTCAGGATGGATGATCCTCGATATACTTGAGACCATCTTCCTATTGAATCGTGATAAAAAAGACCGACTTCACAACGGAGTCGAAATAATGGTAATGTAGATGATATTATGCAACTAAACACAAAGAATATAGTTTTGGAGCAGTGACTGATTAATAAATAGTACAGAATAAAATTGAAACTCCGGATTTTTAGGGAAGCAAAATAAATGCATTTGTGCCACTGAGACCGATTTTAAGCTGTCACCTATCTAGTTACTTTACTCCTTGGAGGCTGGTCAGTCTCGATGCAACGTTTCAGATTGAAAGTTATGAAGACCTAAGGATATTTCTACTTCAAGTAGAAGCCCACCTGAAGTTTGTAATGTCAGTCAGAAGAACATTGAAAGCTCCACGACCAAACCACCTAGCTCAGAGAACAAAACTTCACCTAAACCACCCACCTGATCTACGAATCTTCACCAACTCAATATTTCTACATTGTTATCCAAGACGTTTGAGGCGCTGTATTTTGTTAAAATCTTCACCAAACAGAAATAGGTCATTATTGAATTGTTTCTCAGAAAAGAAGTAGAGTTTTAGTCCTGATACTTTCTGCAGATCAATGTCTGGATTGTTCGTGTGCCCCATATGTGTGTCGCCTGATAGGATATTGATCTAGAAATAGACATGAAGTACGTATGACGGAATTACACACAAAATGGAGGTACAGAGAGCTTTGATGAAAACCTCGAAGTTACCAAATCTAATGATAATTTGTCGCAAGCTCCAAGTCGACAGATATCCAATGATTAACATTGCTACGATACCTGTTGCTTGACGAAGACGAGTTCCACAGCCTGTTCAAGGAATAACTCAGTAGGGTGTCGGTATATTGCCTATGTCCTAAAACCTACCGGAGGATAAGTATTTAGTCTGATATATCGATGGTTCGCTGTTCCCGAGCCCCATTTAAGCGCTGACCAGTCGTGGGAAGTGATACCTTCAACACAAAGTTTGTCGAGCTAACCACTCTGCTGTTTCCAACTTTATAATAAGTGACTGTCCGTGAATGCAACTAACGGAGCGGGGCAAACTTTACGAATGGTACATCACCAAATCCTCATTATGACGTAACATTTCTGTCAGTTTAAAACAGATTTTTGTTCTAAGGACCATTACCATTAACAATTTTTAATGAATAGTTTAAATCCGGACTGGTGATGAAATCAAACCACTGTAACTTTTACACAAACCAATCATTTTATATTGGAACGATGGTTCACAGCCAAGTTGGATGCTTTTGGTGTTGTTTCTCAAGCTGGACAATTTAGTTCCAAAGCTTTCATTATCATCCTGAATGGCATAACCAGCAACCACTTCATTTACATGTGAGCTTTTTAAAACAGTCCTTTCTTTTCGTGAGTTGCATACTAGTTGAGTTGGTAAGCGGTAGCTCGCTTGTACCTCATACATACTATTTGCAAGACTTAGGTACAAGAATAGTCCACTTTAGTTGTAAGCAGTGATAAGATCATTTGGAAGTATCATCACAGAGTAACGAGTTACATCGACACCCGAACTAGTGATAGGGAGTGAAGTAGTTGAGTGTGTCGACCGCTTCACTTATCTTGGAAGTCTCATCAGCCCTTGTGGTTTGGTTTGTGACGAAATCTCAGCACGGATACAGAAGGCTCGACTAGCTTTTGCCAACTTGCGTCATTTATGGCGTAGGCGAGATATCCGTCTATCAACCAAAGGGACGTGTTTACTGCGCAGCAGTTCGTTCCGTCCTTCTTTATGGCAGTGAAACATGGCCGGTAAGAGTAGAGGATATCCGTAGGTTACTAGTATTCGATCATAGGTGTCTTCGAAACATTGCTCGTATATCATGGGACCATCGAGTAAGTAACACAGTTGTCAGGAAACGGGTACTAGGTAAGGATGGCAAATCAATTGATGAAGTAGTGAAACTTCATCAGTTGAGATGGCTGGGACACGTGTTACGTATGCCCAACGACCGACTGCCTCGACGTGCTATGTTCAGTGGTATAGGAGTAGGTTGGAAGAAAGCTAGGGGCGGCCAGACCAAAACATGGCACAAGTCCATGAAGTCACTGACAAGTGAACTGAGTCATGTTGGTAGGTGTAGACTACCTGGTTGGGGACCGCGAGATGACAGCAACCGATGGTTAGAGACCCTGAATGACATGGCTCAAAATCGTTCGCAATGGCGCAGGTGCATCCACTCTCTGTGTTCTCCCAAACTCTAATCTTCTGAATTCTTCATGTCCCTTTTTCCCTCTTCCCAAATTTCTTTCACCGGATTATACTCTTTAAATAACATTTCCAAACCCTAATCTTCCCGATTACTGCTTATACTCTTGCTACCTTTACCACTACGGGATTTGAATCGACCACTGCATCTCTGTGCTAATGTGGTGTGGCAACTCGAACTGATGTACGTACGTACGAAGTTCTACGTTGTTACTGACTGACTGACTGAGCCATACTTTAGGTCATTCCGGAATATGTATATCGCTTTGAGACTAGGAAACATGTTATTTAGTATAACGGTCGATATCCATTCATAAAGACACGATCAAAAGTGTGCACAATAATAAGAGTAACTACCAGAAGAGGTTACAATAATAACGATCAACGGATAAATCAATATTAAAAAAGCGAGCAGCAAAGGGGGGAATAGGGTTTGAAATTTGACCAATTTACTGTTTATACGTTTGCTTTCACGACTAATCAAGAAAGTAGTGCTTTAAACGTTCATCAAACACTGTAACCTCCCAAATTCCATAACAATTTTCTTATTACTATTCCAATCGCGTTGTTTCATACATCTATTTTGAACAACAAAGCCAGTTGATCTGCTTAATAATGGGGTTCCACAGTAGTGAGGTCCAGATAACGTCTTTTCACTTTGTTGATTAGAATTCCCTATTGATGAACATACAATCCATTCGCACCGTAAATTACATTTTCCACGCACATTGAGCACTCAGAAACATATGTGATTTAAAATATTGATCTGTATACTTTTTAAACGAATTCCGGATTAGAAACTACGATATTATGAGGGCAAACCATAATGTTGAGATTTTTGTACTTAAATACGATGAGGCAATGGTTCGTCTGGTGATCCTAACTTTTCATCATAACGTTTAACGGCTGGCTACATGTTAATACAAACTAAGAGGTTTCTTATGTATGCTATGAACATTCACAAAACGACCAATCATTGATTCATGCTTAATAAAATACCAGTAACAGCATCTAATAACTTCCCTTATTATGAATGAAAATATAGATATGTCAAACATATGATTAGTATTGTCATAACTTATGCCCCTGTCAACTATCACGTGACAAAACCGCCAATCAGAACACCGACGTATATGAACTTGTCCATGTGCTAAAATAATTATGCATAAATGAGCAGGCCGTCTCTTATTTCCCTCGAGCTAGCATTCCCCCCCCCTCCTTATTGGTTGCTTCAGGACCGCAAAGCAATTAAACTTTAAAACCACAAAAACTTCATTCCCTCTTCTAATCATCGCCTTTATTGATATAAGCTTTTCTGACAATCATCCCCATTGGTCTACGTTCTTTTTCTTGTCCCTCTATCAGTGAACTATGATTATGGGGAAGCGCTTACTGCGCTACGTTGTTGTCCAAAGTTCTAAAGTTTCTCAGTCATCCATATCGTATACAAACTTTCTTTTTATTCAAAAGATTGATGGTGAGACTATAATTTATAGTCTCGCCAATTAAATACATCACAATTTGTACGCACGTCCAGTTGTTGTTCACTAGCGGACGGTTATATGTTGCTGTTTATTGGATTTAAAAGAACCAAAGAGTATGTTTGGACTAGCGACGTATATTAAAATTTTCGAAATGTAACTGAGATATCCTTCTTTCGTTCTTGAACTGGCACCTGTCAATTTGCGACTTAGGACTTCCAATGTTGCGAAGCCAATGTTTACTATTATATATGCTTGAAGTCAAAATGAAAAAACTTACAATGCATCGACACTTACACTTGGGCCTTCGAATTCACCTACCACAGTACCACTTTCAGTATTCATAATCCAGCCGACAAGGCCATTTACCTTAGCGAATTCAGCCGCATACTGAGTTCAAATGATTACATTATCTAATGACAAACCTTTCTAAAAAATACACCTGATGATGAATAAGTTGTTAGGAAACTTCCATACCTTGAACTTTACCATGAACTTCAAACATACAACCACTTAAATCATGTTGCTTACCCGCCATCAGTGTTTGCCTTTGGAGATTTAGTAGCCGAAGGTCATTTGAAAAGACTGAACGCATGGAACTGTGTTACCCTTGATAATAATGGTCTCTCGTCTGGTCTAATTTTATTCATCTTTGTGTTGATCTATGTCTACCTGAAGGGAAAACACAACACGCGTTATTTAAAATAAACATTCCGGGTGATTTTATCTGCAACGCAACCGTGTAAGCCTAATCTATTGCCCAGTGTAATAACGGTTATGTCTACGTTCATGTAATCATAGAATCCGTCATTTTATAATCTATTTTTTGTTAAATAACTAGATTGTGCTGTGAATTTTCCTCTGGTTGTAATTTTTATTCGCCACGTTCGACTGCGTTACGCTGAACGTTCATTGCATGCTGAGATGATATCACAAGTCATAGTAAGTTTAATTACATCTTTGATCGTTTCCAAACAAACCGTCAGTATATAATGTTACTGAAGAAAGGTTTGTTGTGCTGTAAACTATGTTTTTATGAACAACTGACTATTGTCTCTAGTCTCAAAACAATACCCTTTGTCTTCTGCTAGGTAAGTTTAACCAGCCTATAGTTCGTGTTTTAGGTTTATCGGCTGAATTATGTACAGTTAACTACTTTGAGTAGCATGTCTGTGCAAATGAAATAGTAATTATAACACTTGCATAGTTGAGTATTCTTGATTGTCGTATAACTCAGTTTAGTCTATAGAATTATATTATACTTAAGTATAGTGCTTGAAGCCTGTAACGAAAAATATCAGCTTAGTGAGTAGAGCTGCTTGTTTTTAATGACCATACTGATTTAAACCAGTCTGATTAAAAATAGGAAAAAAAGTGCATTTGATGCTGTTGCTGTCATACGTTATACGATAGCCCCAAGCTCTCAACTTTGGGGAAATTATGAGGAATTCCCCAAAGTGAAGTGGATTTCCTCAAAAATTGGGGAAATCCCCAATTTTCGTGGAAATTTTGGGGTAAATCTCCAAAATATGCGTAGTTCAGTATTCCAGAATTACATTTCATCACAATTGGACTATCAAACCTTAAAATAATAAACTACAACTAAGAAATATTACCTTTAATAAAAAAATGACTTTTGGTCACGAACAGTCTATCGAATCTGAGGTTTTGTTTTAATACGTCAAACAGACAAGAGACAATTATTCGTCGCCTATTACAGAAGGTTGCGGAAGTTTAGAGCTGAATTCATAAAAAAAGTACCAGTTAACCACCGGCGACGATGAGAACAGCAATTCAGTCATCTTCACAGAAGTAGGGACCACCGCAGCTTTAGAGCAGTGTAACAATATAGTCTCAAATACAGCCACTGCTTCATTTAGTTACGTCCAGTGTTCTGACACTACAGCCGACGGTAGTCTAGCTTTATTTAGTATGTTTGTTGTTTATTCCTAGACTGTACATCCACCATATTTTAAGATCACTGACACTAAACAATTTCCCTAGTAATAACATCGGTAGCAGGATAGCTAAGCGTATGAGCTTTTAGTTGCCTGCAAAACTGCAGTATACAGTCCTAGAAGATGAGTATTCTGTGTCTCAGTTAAGTACAGCTGGTTGTAGACATATGTTAAGGATCTTTTTAACAACTGGGACTTTTAGTTTATCAGACACTAACTCTGCTTGTATGTCTTCCTGTAAAACCAGACGCAGATGCATGGGAATACATAAATGGGAGTAAAATAACAAAAGCTGTGCGGTACGGTACTACGCCTATGTCATGCTTTGCACAAGTCGTAGTAGCTGACCTGATCTAATATTCATGAACAGATGCATAAATTCTTTGCTAAAAAACATGTAATTTGTCTATTTATCTATTCCACATTTCTGACTAAATTCACTCCTATTTTTCATCTAGAATGCAACAGCAGTGAGCCCTCGCAGATCCTAAAAACTGTTTCGACCTTAGAACTATGGTCCTATGAAACTAATAACGGGAGACCCAACTAACAGCAGATTATATAAAGGATGCTGGACGTCCGTTTTAGTCTCACAACCACTTCCAGTATTTATTTGAGTTACTTCTTTTACCCTTTCGTTTGGGAAAAACGGCAAAGACTGCAGCTTAACATTACCAATGCAACTTTTAAAAGGGGACCTGGTATAAGCCTTTGTTTGATATTCGATTGGTAATGAAGGTTAATGTGTAAATTTTTAGATCTAATGCTGTTTTGTTTTATCTAGCTAATCCTTATAAGAAACTTGTGAAACAAGAGCCTCCCAGCACCGAGTTCATATGTAGTAAATTTAAGTCATGTAGTACATATCTTCGTTACTTTCTTGGGAAACCTAGAGACTCGTGTCCACTCACAACTTATTCTAGCCACTATGAGTTGTCGCGACAGTTGATGGATGGACACGCATTACACATCCTAACCTCCCTTTGTCTAATATCATAGTTTGTTATTAAAATGGAACACCAGTAACTCAAAGGCACACTGTGTGGTACCGTACATTGATCTACGCACTCAACTTTTTTATGAGAATATTACTACAGTCTTGCTAAACATCCACTGAACCCCCTATCTCCATCAAAACAAATAAGTCTGTATTTCCTGCATACAACAATTTTGTTTTCCAAAAGTAAGATATAACAGTTAAAATAGGAGTAAAATGGCAGTTGTCCAAAAATCACTCGAACGTGAAAGTGAAAATTTGCAGGTACTTTTCATCGAAAGGGTGAACGTACTAGGTACCGGTTGACATCAAACCGTGAAAAAACACAAACTTGCGAGTGGTGAAATATAATCTATAAAACGGGAGCTTAATAATAGTTAATTACCTTTTTACTCCCTGACCATGACCCACTGGCTCCCTTTTATGACCATACATACAGTACACACTGATAGCAGATTTCCGGCTTTTCAATGTTAAGCTTGCTTTAACGCACGACGCAATTAGTACAACCCTCCTATTACTGCTATACAGCATATATTTTATAACAAACCCTCTGCAATAAATCGGTAGCATCTGTGACTTCGACCATCCTAAGCCCCAACTTAGGGGAAATCGCAAAGTGGAATAGCCTTCCCCAAAGTCAGGGGAAATTTTGGGGAAAAACGCGAAATTTCCCCAAAATTGTGAAAAACTTTGGGGTTTTAATAAAAAGTGTACGCCCACTTCCTCAAAGTGTAATAAGATTCCGGGGAAATTTTGGGGTTTTGTGCCATTCCTCAAAGTTTACTATAGCGGCTTCCCCAAAATGGGTCGAATTTTCCCCAAAATTGGGAGCTTGGAATGGTTGTCGGAAGTCTGGGTCCTTTCGAAAACAATACTAATATCCTCTACTGCTGGGCACTCAATATTAATTTGACTCGTTGGTGGGATAGTGTTGTCCATAATATTAAACAAAATTAAAAACCGGTGATCGTCTTCTTTCATTTTGCCGATAACATCATAAAGGACAGTTGGGGACGAACATGTGGACAGTTTGAGTCACAGGCGGCAGCAACAATTATTTTAGCTAAAAAACGAACTTCGGCTTTGGATATCTAGAAAACATGTCAAAACAAAACCGATTATCATTTTAAAACGTAGGACTAGCGAGCTTGCCTGGAGAGATACATTGACTTCAGTAGCATCAGTAAAAACCCAGAAAACAAAGCTAAATCAGAAACACTTTGCTCCAACGTTTAGAATATTACATTAACCTCTTTATTTTAGCACACTGAAATACTAAATTACATAGCCACACAAAGGAAATAGCGGAAAAAGTACAGAACGAAGAAAGCCGGTCGCCATTGCTTACGAAGATGTAGGATATAATAATTCCCGCTTCATTCTGACTGGTCGCTAAGCTGACTGCCACGTTTACGAAATCAAGTTGAGTTTAATTGCAGCCATAAATAATTTGGCAAAATAGCTTATGTTAGTTCGTGATGAAGACCTTAAATCTAATTTCTAACCTTAATCATCAGCTGCAAACCGTAATTCTAATTCCTCACACAGGTTTATAACCCTCATTTCGTTCTGGTTATCAGGTGGAAACTCTCAAGGTCGATCTGGCGTCGCTAAAAGGTCGTCCATAAATTATAGTCTCACCGGTTTATTTGGTTAAAGTTTGAGATATTTACATATCCATTTCGTGTTACTATTTTTAGTGAATTTTTAAAATGATCCGGCCTGCTCATACATGTAAACAGCCGTATCGTTTATTCCTTGTGGAAGAAGGAATGCAATGTGTTGAATGTAATATGTGCTTCCATAAGATGTGTACCCGCTTAAGCCTCACAGCTTATAAAACGTGCTCAAAGCCAACTTTCATTGGCTCTGTATGTTTTGTTCTTCGAGCAAAACATTACTCATCCAAGAAGCACTTAGCCTCGTCGCAAGGGAGTAGGTATAATGTGATCTAATAAACTAAAAGCGTCGTTCCGTTTTTTTATCGAGTACTGAAGTCTGAGTGAGTTACGTTCCAATGGTTCAAACGGTTATAAAAAGAAAAGAAGCTTTCGCTTAACGGGATTCCGTGTCAGGTAGAAGTGGATCACCAATACCTCCAGGCAGTAATCTAGGTTTATTAACGATAAAATCATAGTAAGATACTACCCTTCGTTCTTAAGAATATGAAATATTGTGATCTACTATGATATTGGTACTGCTCTCATAATAGACCTAATCATAAAATTGCAGATTTGTTGTGATGTAACTGTGTAGTGGCATTGGACAATAGCCACACAATCCACAAAGCTGTGAACACGAGACTACTCAGAAAATAGATATTCAATATTTAACTCGGGGAAATACCTAACAATGGAGAAGGCGCGAACAATGAATCGAATGAACTAGTTGATCGAGTGGCATGGCTCGGCCATGCAGGCGTGGTCTCTGCTGAATGTTACCTTATATCTTCTATTCATATTAAATATATTGTTCTTTTTCTAGCCTAAACTTGTTCTACATCATGTATTGGAAATTGACGCGATACAGTGAGTTGGTGTAGTCGATGGTATGACTTCCACGTAAGATCTTATAGATTAGGCAGTTATATCATGACAAATCTACAAATTTAGGATTAGGTCTATTATTAGAGCAGTACTAATATCATAGTAGACCATAATTCTACAACTGCCTAGTACATAAGACCTTACGTGGAAGTCACATCGTTGTCTATACTGACTCATCGTATAACAATTACCAATATATGATGGGGAACAC